AAAAAAAAAAAAAAAAAACAGTCCAACTCAAAAAGAACACATAATGTCCAGCTCCAAGTACATGAAGTTCTAGTGCAGGAAAAATTAATTTAGAGTGATAAAAATCAGGAGATGGTTGCTCTGGGAAAGGTGTAAGAAAAGCTCTGGAGTGACGGAGATGTCTGATATTCCGATAGGGATGTGAGTTTACACAGGTATATGCATTTGTCGAAACAGCAATCTATAGGTTTCACTGAATATAATTTATACCTCAATTTCCAAAAAGATTTTGAAACATCATTCTACATCTCTATACCTAGAATAACACCCACAGAGGGTAAAATCTGAGGAGCATCCAAAAATTCTCAAGGAAAAAAGAATTTACATAACAACAACTGAAGTCTATAAAGTGCTTAACATATGTCAGGCCCTGTGCAACTTGTTTAGGGTGCTTATCACATTTAATTCTCACAAATGACCCTATTAGGTCAGCAAAATCATTGGCCCATTCAGCAAATAAGGAAATTGAGGCATAAACATTTAGATACCTACCCAGGGCAGTAAAAGAAGAACTGGTTTTCTGCTCAGTGATCTCCAAGCAGGGATCCTTCAGCCACTATCTTATAAGGCTCTTGCTCAGAACAGACTAAATGTTTTCTTTTTATTATTATTATTATTTTTTTACTTTAGGTTCTGGGATACACATGCAAAACGTGCAGGTTTGTTACATAGGTACATGTGTGCCATGGTGGTTTGCTGCACCTATTCACTTGTCACCTAGGTTTTAAGTCCGGCATGCATTAGCTATTTGTCCTAAGGCTCTCTCTCCCTCTCCTCACCACCCCCACCCCACAACCCCCCAACAGGCCCTGGTGTGTGTTGTTCCCTCCCTGTGTCCACGTGTTCTCATTGTTCAACTCCCATTTATGAGTGAGAACATGCAATGTTTGGTTTTCTAAGAACAGAATAAATGCTTTCTAAATACCCCCATTTCAGAAAGGATTATAGATAAATCCACATAAATGTTGAAAAGTAAAGTAACAGGTGTTTTGGTTGCCCAGACGTAATGATGCAGATGCCTTTAGCAAGGTATGTGTTCCCTCTTTCCAATCTAATTTCCACCTGTTCAAAAACTAACACCATCCATGGAAACCACCAATATCCATCACAAATTGTGACACTCTTTTGTCAGTATACCAGAATTAAGTCCTCTCTTCTCTTAGAGGTTTCTGATTCATTTTATCTCACTGTTAATGAAGTCAAGGATTATCTTTCAGCACTCCCACCTGCAGAGAGGGGACCTTGCTGTCAACAGGTTTTCCCATGGAAGCGGCTGTAAAGGAAGCCTCCAGCCAAGGCAAAAGGCGTGACTTGATTGTTTCCACGCCATCATTACGTCCTCCTAAAAGAATACACACATCAGGTGAGCAAGAGAAACCCAATAGCACCTACAGTCAAAGAACACAAAAGAGCACCAAGAAGAGAAAGGAAAGGAGAGCTGGGAGGGAAAGTACAGGCCATTCTCACCTTCTTGGGCTGCTGTTGTGAGGATCCCAAAGAGCTGTCCCTGCACCTTGGCAACTTGTTCAATGAGTTCAAGGCAGTGGTTTAGATTTTGATCACAGGTGTTTGTCTGCAAGAGCAAAAGAGTATATGATCAGGGCAATTCCTTCACTCTGGGAACCACTGCAGGAAGACAAGGGCCTCACTTGACCCAAAAGCTGCCTGGCTCTCATATGCTCTGTATAGTCATCAAAACCTATTTCCCTTTCCTCCTGAACACACAACTAGACCACTTTCCTCAGTTTCCCTAGCAGTTTGTGTGGCTGTGTAACTGAGTTCTGGCTAACTGGATGGGAAATGATACATGCCTGGGGCCTGGCCCAGAAGGAAACCTCTCGAACAACTTTTTTTTTCTTTTCCCATCTGCCAACTGAATGCAGAAGAGCCAAGAGAGGATGCTGAGGGCATAAGGGATGAAGGAGCCACAAGATTTGTGAGACTGCTGACTGAATGCTTGCACTGAATTGTCACATGGTTTAGAAAGTTGGTTTATGTGTGTTAAACCACTGAGACTTGCACGTGGTTTTTTATAGCAATAATCCTACTCACTAAAACCATACCAAAAATACATTTATAAAGTAAATAGACCTGTGGTAAGACAATACAAATCACTGCCGAATGTATCTGCTTTATTGGTTCCTGTCCTCTTCATAAATTCAATATGTATATATTACATGTGCATTGAGAACATTACTTCTTAACAGCAAGAAGGTATTGCTGGGTTGAGGATATAAGGGACTTGGCACTTGCAGACTCGTGGGGCAGACAGATGAACAGCCAGTTACCCTGCAGTGAAATAAGTCTTACCTACACAGATGAGTGCAGCCTCTACCAAGAGTCCATTGTCTTGGAAAGTCTGAGAAGGCTTCCAAGAGGAAGTGAAATCTAGGCCAAGATGAAATTAGCCAGACTTGGAAAAAGAGGTGGTTCCGGTTGTTCCATACTGTAAGCGATGAGAACAGAGCAGGAGGAGGCCAAGGAGTGAACCCTGCAGCTATTATTCTGCTTTCCTCAGTCCTTTAACAGATTCTACCATTTCAGTATTAGCCAAACCTCTGACTCCAACACTAGAGGAACGAAAACAACTACAAGCAGCAAACATCACGTGGGTGTAAAAATACATCGATTTATGTGTCACCTAAGGGCATGATAAAGCATTGGTCCTCAGTGCCTCCTGGACACAACAAATCCCAGAACAGAAAACAGCGTACATAAAGGATAGAAACTAGAAGGAAGAGGAAAAGTTTAGATGATCTCTAGGCAAAAGTTTGCAAGTCAAATACACATCTGCATCAACCAAGGAAATAGTTCAGACAGGCAGTAAGCTCCTTGAGGACAGACTGGGCCTGTCCTGTTAGCTGCTGTATTTCCAACCCTGCATTCTATAGTGCCCCTTATTCAGACTCATTATGCGTTGGATGGATGCATGTAAGTGAGATGATTCACTCACTTTGATTGATTACCTCTCTCCTACATGCCAGGCTCTATTAGTGCTTTACATATATAAGTCAATTAATCCTCGAGCTACTACACTAGGAGATAGAAGAACTAGTAACATCATTTCCATTTCAGATGAGACAGCTGAGGCACAGAGAGGTTAAGTAACTGGCTCATGCCTACCCAGCTAGTAAATTGTCAGTGCTGAGATTGGAACCCCAGCAGCCTGGCCTCCAAAGCTCATGCTCTTAACTACTAATCTATATGGACTTTCAGATCATGATTCATGCTGGGAGCAGAGGGAGGACTGGATGATGCGGCCACGCATGAATGGGGAGGACATCCAGGGAAGGCTGCCCTGTGGAGGGGACCCTTGAGCATTCCTGGATTATAAGAGTCAGGAAAGCACAGTAGTAGGGAAAGGGCATGCCAGGCAGTGGGAACAGCAAGGACAAAGGTGCTGAGGCTGGAACAAGTTTGGCAACCCTGATGACAAAACACATGTCAATGTGGCAGAGGCACAGAAGGTCCGGGCAGGTCGGCAGGGTAGGTTGACCTGGAGAGCCTTTCAGGCCTGGCCTGGAGTTTGGATGGGATGGGCTTGTAATTGAGAGGGCAGCTGGTTTACTTTCCATGCTTGGCAAATAGTACCTGATGACTAATTCTGTTGTAGCATTGATTTCTCCTGTAGCCTTTTTCTCCATCTCGTCCTTCTAACCTCTCCTCCCAAAAAGATCATGAATTCTTTTTAAAAATGACCTTGCTTTTCTCATGTTTGTATCTATTGCCACTAGTATCCTAGCAAATTGAAGGGTCCAAACAGCAGTTGATGAATGAATGGTTTAACAACATAATGTTGACATGATAAGAGCATTTAAAACCCAGAGCCTAAACAGCTATCTCCATTCCTTCCTCATTAATCCAGCAGCTCCTTGCCCTGGCCATTTTATATCTGCATTTATAACATTGAACTTCAATTACCTGCTTACAAGCCTTTCACCTTCTGACTAGATCATTCCACGTGCTAAGTGAGAATGAGCTTGGGAGTCAAGCAAACCAAAGTATCTCAGCTCTGTCACTTGCCACAATTCTGTGTGACCCTGCACAAGTTACTTAACCTTTCTGAGACCATTCCTCTCCCATACAATGGGGATAGCAATGCCTTGTAGAGCATTTGAATTAAATCAAAATAATACATGTCCAACACCTCAGACACAGACAGTGTTAATCAGTTGGCACTTATGAGGTAGCATGCAGTACTGAAAGGAGCCAGTGGTTTAGGAATAAGGCAGACCTTTGTTCCAAATCTGGTTCTCATCAGCTGCATTCCCTTAGAAAAGACATTTAAATATGAGGCTCTGTTTCCTCCTGTTTAGGAGGTAGTTGATCTCATGAGCAGAGCCTAGCATAAAAGAGGTACACAATAATTAAAAGTATTATTACGGTATCATTCCTATCTGTTCCTATGCCATGCCCAGTGACTGGTACATAGTGGGTACCCAGAGGAACATTGGTCAAATGAGTTTTTAAACACAACTTAAATAACGGGAGAGAATAGCCTATGTCACACAGTTCCCCTTCCCAAGACATGTTACAACATGTTGCAACTTCTAAACACAAAGCATTGTACAAGAGAGTCAAGTTGCAATAAGGTCACTTTATTCTAGTAAACACATACCCACATACCCACACAAGACAAACAGAGCAAAGATATGGGCTAATTATACTGTCTCCAGAGCACAGACTCCAGATTTATTCATTCATAAATCATTGAGCTCCTATTATATGGAAGGCCTTGGAAACAAAGATCAGGAAACAAAGCTATATTTAAAAAAAAAAAAAAAGTTGACTGCAGTCAATGAACTAATTAGATGGGGAAGTGAGATGGAGAACAAGAGGCACGTATGGGATAAATAATTACCTTAGAGTTTATGTTAAGTGCCCTGAGTGGATAACAAGCTAGAGGAACAGCAAAATAAGCTCTGGTGAGGGGTGAAGGGTAAGAGAGAAGGGCATTTCAAAAGAACAGAAAGTACCAAGACATATTAGGGGGAAGTGAGTACAGGGTCAAGAGATCAAGTTTGAAAGACTTGACTTGCCACATTAAGGGTCTTGGGCTTTATTCCATCATCAAAATATCTAAGGATGCAATAGAGGAAGGTGGGTATGACATGTTCATATTTGCTTTGCATGTTACAAAAATCTCTCTGGCAAAAGCAGTCCAGATAGAATTTGGGTTACAGAGTGAGTCTGGTGGGGAGGTAGATGGGTATAACCATCTGGCTGAGAGATGCTGGAGGCTGTAGACATACCAAGGGTCCCCCAAAGGTCTTTCCTAGCCCCAAGTTACATCTGTGCCAGTCAAGTTCCCACTGATTCCAGCATTACCTAAGAAGTTCAGGGAGTTTAGAAACGAGTAAGAAGTATGAGAGGAATGATCCTCAGTTTGGGTTTGAACAAGTGAGGGGGCCTGTAGGACCTTCATATGGCATGTCCAGTAATAGTACCTAACAATTTCTCAGTACCACTCTATGTCAGCCAGACCCTGTGCTAACAGCTTTATATATACATAGCTTCATTTAATCCTCAGAACAACCCTTCAAATGGGATGCCATCATCATCCAAAATTCACCATTGAAGAAAAACAAAGTTAAGTAATTTGAAGAGACAATGGTTGGGACTGAAACATAATTAAAATTAATTATGTACTGTATGTATCATTTTAGACACATAAATCATGTATCCATACCATCACTTCTTTGTTTAGTATAGGTTTCTGTGTGTTGCATTTGCCTTTTAAAATGCGAAGTACTTTTCAAATTATTCATAAGTTGTATATCCACCACTGTGGTACTCACGGTTTTTAAATAAGACTGGTATTACCTGTTTACAATGCCTGTTAATAAAAGAATTTACAGTTTGGTAAAATTGCTGCTAAACAATCATTGGATCACAATCCTCATCAAATATACCCATCTATAAAAATTTGAGTGAGAGCATAAGGTTTCACACAAGCCATTTACTAAAGAGGTAGTAATGTTTCCCTTTGGTTTTACCATGAGTTTAGGTGTTCTAAAAAATTCTATAGTACCTAATTTCACCTTACCTGTTAACATTCCCAAAATGACATTTAAGTGTTGTAAAATTCTGTTTGTAGTATATGATATGCATATATAGTTATGTGTATGTCTAAATACAAATTCAAATGAAACATTAGCAATACTTAATCTTACTGTGCTACATATAGTGTAACATACTTGGAAAAGATTTACCTTTCTGCAACAAGGGACTGTTACATACAAGATGGTGATAATGATAAGGTACATAAATGGTGTTCCCACTAGAAACCTGCCCTGTCCACCCCTTCCCATTTCCCTAAACCCTATCCTCAAACTACTTTAGCTGAGAAGCTTTTCACTAGACTGTGAGTTAGTGGTAGCTTACACCTACTTATGTTTATATAAATTGCTTACAAATTATACCTCATATTAGCAATTACATTACATTATGAGAATGTGTATTTGCATAGGCTCTTGCTTATCTTTGTTTTGAAAAATTGTTCTGCCTAGAAAACAGTCCTGAAAGTAGCCTGACACTTCCTGTTAGTAATATTAACCTTACATCTAACCATCT